CCTATGAATGACGTGTCAGTGGTGAGGAGCAATGATTGTGATGTTTTCAAGAAGGGGATTCCTTTGGAAACAATGCCTGGGTCCTTCCACCAGTTTAAGGAGTTTTTGATCCTGGTGGGTAGTGACAACCTGTCCTTGTTCACTCTGTAAACCAAACCATATTTGGAGGCATTGCATGGGAAGCCTGGCATGAGGTATCACCGCCGTGCCCCAACCATATGTCCCAAGAACTGGAGGCAAAGCCTGACTTGTGGGCTGCTCTGAAAGTTGTCTATGAGTAAGACTAAGGATAGGAACCTGTACTGAAGACAGACAGCTTTGGCCTCTAACATGTCGAGGTCAGCCCCTATGAATTCCAGGTATTGCACTGGAGTGAGGGTTGACATCTTGGGTGCTGCTCTGTAGACCCAGCTCTACAAACAAATGTATTGTAGTGTCGGTGACTTGGTGAGCTTCCCGGAGAGATCGGGTCCAAGGAGACAATCGTCCAGGTATGGATAAATCATTATCCCTTGAGAGCATAAATGAGTGGCCACCACTGAGAGAACCTTGGAAAATACCCTCAGGGCTAATGATAGACCAAAGGGAAGCAGTCTGTTTTGGTAGTGGTCGTGTCCCAGAGTGAATCTAAGAAATTGTCTGTGAGCTGGTAGATTGAGATGCAAAAATAGATGTCCTAGAGTTTGAGGGCCAAAAACCAGTCTACCTGTTCCAATGCTGAATGATTGTCAATAAGGTGACCATCTTGAAATTTGAGCCTTGACAAACTTGTTGAGAGCTCTGAAGTCTAGTACGTGTCTCCAACCTCCCTTCCTTTTAGGTATTAGGAAATAACGAGAGTAGAACTCCATGCCTCACAGATGTTGAGGTACTGGTTCTATGGCTCCTAGCTGGAGGAAGTGACCTATCTTGCATCATAGTAAACTCTCATGAGAAGAGTCCCTGAAGAGGGACAAGGAAGGAGGTACGGAGGTAAGCTGGAGTATCCAGTTCAGACAGTCCCATCAGTTTGATGTTATGCAGTTCCAGGCACTGCAGAACACTGCCAATCAATGGCCATATGGGTGTGGAACGATGGTTGGCTGTGTCAGCTGGGGGGGGGAATAGTCTAACGGTGCCTCGACCTGCCCATCAAAAGTGGTGTTTAGACGTATAGGGCTGGGATGAAGATTGTGGGCCAGATGGTTTCTGTTTAGGAAATTTCCCTTTCTTTATTTACATCTTACAGTGGAGCTGAGGTTGGTATTGAGACATGCATGGTCTATGCTGGGATTGTGGACTAAATCATCTCTTCTGTCCCACTGTATAGATACCAGTGACCGGAGGGTAGCCCTGGAATCCTTCAGGATATAAAGGGAGGTGGCAGTCTTCTCAGCAAAGAGCTTTGTGCCCTCAAAACAGAAGGTCCTCATCCACGGACTGCATCTTTATATGTGGTATCCTCTACTGTATTCTTGTAATGAGAACAACAGACACCAATGCTCATTGACAAATCATATTAAAAAGGCAGGTAGGACAAAAAGTAGCCACATTTGCACTGCATGATCCAGAATCTTCTGGATTGGTATGGCCAGACGATTTGTTTAAACATAAGCAGCACTACAGTGCCATCCCTTGAGACTTCCATTATTAGACCAAGAACAGGATGAGAAAAATTATAGTGAATGCACTGAGAGATTTCACAAATGAGTGGTCTAGTAACAGAAAAGAAGTTACTTGTATCACCACCCTGAGTACAATCCTAAGGGAAGGACCTCATCCGGCTCAGCATTTTCCCAATAACCCCTGAAATGTCAAAGCAGAACAATAGTATTCTGATGCTATCAGTAGCAAATGTTGCAGAAGGAGCTGGTAACATGAGAAAATGTCTTCCTTTCATCAATGGACAAGAAGTGGTAGCCCATCTGCATGGGCAGTTCCTGTTCCACATCCCAGCATGAAACCTGACTGGAAAGGTCCAAGATCTCAGCAATGTACAGGAATAGTTGAAAACTACTTTCAAGAACTATTTGGTTAGTTTGCTCAGGAAAGAAAGATTGGATACTAGGTGGTAATTTGCTAGATCCAAAAAGGTACACAGGTGGCTTTCCTGATTATTGGCTGTGGTTGTCTGTCCAGAGTCAGGCCTTAAAAGCTCATGTCCCCTTAACAGCAGCTAGGCTGGGGTACTGCCCTTACTCAGAGGACGGTAGGAAAACAAATATACAGACTGCTTAAAGTTAGCCTAGTAGTGATATTTAGACAAACTAATCACATCTGCATTGAAATAGACAGCTCAATTATAGAATGAACTGCCGACAGGATAGTATCACTGTAGCCTTTGAAGAATTTTAAGAACATCTGGACTAACAGAATTATGGGAAGTCAAGAATAATCTCAAGGACCCTGAAGTAAACTTCACAATCAGATATATCAGGGTGATCTCCAATGCAGGAATCAACAATATCAGTATTTCTCTGGGAGGAAAGTTATGTGAGCACATTTGGAGCAGTACTAGACAACAGTAACTCCTCACTTAACATTGTAGTTATGTACCCGAAAAATGCTATTTTAAGTGAAACCATGTTAAGCGAATCCAATTTCCCCATAAGAATTGATGTAAATAGGTGGGGTTAGGTTCCAGGGAAATTTTTTTTTGCCACACAAGACTGTACATATATATACACACATACAGATTATAAATTTTAAACAAACAATTTAATGCTGTACACAGCAATGATGATTGTGAAGCTTGGTTGAGGTGGTGGAGTCAGAGGGTGAAAGAGCGTGGGATATTTCCCAGGGAATGCCTTGCTGCTAAATGATGAACTAGCACTTGGCTGAGTCCTCAAGGGTTAACACATTGTTGTTAATGTAGCCTCACACTCTACAAGGCAGCATAGAGGGAGGAGACACAATAGATGCAAGGCAGTGGCTGCAAACCCACATTATCCCATTGGAGCACACCACTCGTTCCAAGGTCCTGGGGGTTGCATGTATGTGTGACACAAGGCAGTGGGGGGAGGGACACCTGAACTGCCCGGCAATTGATAGTCTGCTAGGCGGCTGCAGCACAGAGAACTTAGGGGAGCTGACAGCGGGGCTGCTGGTTCCAAGCCCCAACCAGCTGCAATGGCTGCTCTTCCTGCAAGCAGTTGACAAAGCAGGGGCTGTCAAACAACATTATAGGGGAGCACTGCGCAACTTTTAAACGAGCATGTTCTCTAATAGATCAGTGACGTAACAATGAAACAATGTTAATTGGGATGACGTTAAGTGAGGAGTTACTGTACCTCATTACTCATCACTCAAAGGGGGGGGGAGGAGACAGACTAGTGCAAAGACACAAAAAAAGAAAACCCAAAACATCAAATACGCTGAAGCAGAAATGATCAAACTGAATTACAGACTACTTGCTAGTGGTCCACAGACAGCTGGCTTCGCACATTATGCAACCATGTCCTTTCTCCTACCCTGCTCCTTATCAACTTAAGTACATTAAAAGAAAGCTAAAAATATATTTCACACTTTCTTAATATCACTTTTCCATGAAAGCTCTTTCTCTAAATTGCCACAGGAATGTAATACAAGGAAAACAGGAGAAAAAGTCTGCACAATTACAGTTTGGAAGGGAAGTGGTCTGTAAGATAATCTCTATATTAAAATGTGATGCACCATACAAAAATGTTTGAGAACCTGTTCCAAGAAAAAAAAATCAAGAAAAAAGAAAACCCACCAGCACTGAAAGGGGCTCAGATATTAGCTTTTGCTTTTGAAAAGAGGGACCAGCCCGTAGCAATGTTTTTCTGTTTCAAGGCCTGTACAAAGAAGAAACCAGACCAGAACCATTGTATCAGTAAAGAACCCCTCACCATTCATCTGAGGCCTGGACTACACTAAGGGGGGGGAGGGGGAATATTGATCTAAGTTATGCAACTTCAGCTACGTGAATAACATAGCTGAAATAGATGTACTTAGATCGACTCACCACAGTGTCTTCACTGCAGTGAGTTGACTGCTGCCGCTCCCCCGTCGACTCCGCCTGGGTCTCTTGCTGGAGTACGGGAGTCGACGGGAGAGCACTCGGGGGTCGATTTATCGTGTCTAGACTAGACACAATAAATCGATCCCTGCTGGATTGATTGCTGCCCACCGATCCTGCGGGTAGTGTAGACATACCCTAAGATGTCTGACAATCTGACAAAGAGGATCTGACAATCAAAGCAGTTAGGAATAGTTGTAACTTCACAAGCAGGGAGGCTCATGCCATCTGGTGATGAAACAATTTATTGCCTCAGAGTTTTAGCTATGGTGACCTGTAAAGTTTATTGTGAGCATGGACCCAGTATTTTTTATCTTAAATATTCTAAGGTATAGGTGTGCATTTAATTTGAAATTAACTCCTCTTTAGCCCACCTTTTTGTTTTAAATTGTTAAGGGACATTCCAGAGCTCAGACAATAATGCTAAACAGACAGCTATAACATCCAGAAGTAATCTCTTCTTCTGCACTTCACATGTCCCAACCTGCTCTCTGGTTCATGGTTCCCATCCTTGGAAGATCACTACATTAAATCAGGTCCATACAAATTATGTATATTTACACTTTTTCAAGATGTATATGCTTCAGTACAATCCATTTATTCTGGTAAGTCCTTTAAAAAGCTATGTATACTCATTTGATAAGTGTGTCGAATATCCCAATTACCTTCAATAGAATGGTGTTCCATGTCTCTGCCAGTGTTTTAAATCAGATTGTGAAACTGGCAAACTGAGTATTTAGAAACTCTTCAAATCAGTTTAAAAACATATTCCTTAAAAATGCTCAAGTTTTTAGTGCTGAAAAGGCTTTCAAACCATTTCTAGCACAGTATGATTACATAAAAATGTCTCAAACTCAAGGAAACACAGTAAGTTTATCCCATATGTACATTTGAACATGTTTAAATAACTGGTAATCCTAACATATCAGCCTTCTATCAGAAAGTCTGGTACAGTAGATAAACAGTGATCAGACCTTACCTCATCCTGTATCCCACTTGTGGTAGTTAATTTACTCCCATCAGTAACTGTTATAATTATTGCTGGCTCCAGAAAAAAAGGGTTTCTTCCCTAAAAGAAAGTGTAATTACATTAGAAATGCTATGTTCAAATTTAAAAAGTTCTTGCTTAAACCCATAGTGATGCACCAAGGGCCTAATACACCACCCACTGAAGTCAAGGAAATATTCCCATTGACTTCAGAGGGTGATGGATTGGGGTCGTAGGTAGATGGTTTGGTTCCATGGCAATACTCTAGGCTATGAATAGGTTCCTCAACCTTTTTACACCTGCAATCCTAGAACCAATACATATGCTACCATACACCTAAAACAGGCATTTACATTTATTGACTATACATTTCATTAGGATGGATAAAAATCAATTATTTAAAAAAAAATCAAAAATCAGTTTTAATTTTAATCAGATTTATTTTATAAAATGCTTTGAGGAAAAAACCTATATAAAGATAAAGATACATTATAGCTCAAAGATATCTCAGCATGGAATAAGGATTACAAATTCTAATTCTATACATGAATATGTTGTCTCATAGTAATGTTTAAGAAAAGTTTTGTAAATGAGTTCCAATAGTTCATGGATTAGGGACCCAATCTTATGGGGTTCCACAGGCTTCTGTATAGATTATTTAGGTTAATCTTTCTATCTACCCAATGGGACTCAGTGCTCAGTCTAGAAGATATCATCAGAGATGCTTAGTTTTGCAGTTTTCAAACTGTGGATGTGTGTCTCCAGAGGTAACATGCTTGTTAACAGCAAAAATGTTAAAATATATAGAGGTGAAAAATAACAGATCTCAACTCTACTGTCCCTCTGCAGATTTGTGTACACACAGTCAATCCCTTACCTCTCTCTAAACGTGCCAAGTTTCAAAAAGTTCAATGAATAGAAGACTGTTGGGGGCAGACTAGATCTGGACAAGGAGAAGTCTGGAGATAAATGTGAGAAGCGACGGACATATGCTTGTTTTGTTAAAATATTATAAGTTTGCTGTTGAAGAAAAAAAATCCAGAATACTTAACGTTGTTGTTTTAGTTAAATAAAACCATTTAAATACCTATCTGGTGATGTTCTCCTCCTAATACAGCATGGCAAGAAAATCCTCCAAATATTAATGATTAACCTGTTGAATTGGAGATAGTTCACCTCCCAATGACTTCATAAGTATCTGCTTCAATTACCTTTTGTAAATGAAATAACCAATAATTCATTTTCTGATATAGCAGTAAAACTATTGTGAAAAATTTTCAAAATAAACTTACTGTTTAAAAATATATAGTGTGTACCTTCTAAAAATGAAACATCTCTGAGTTGTGAAGAATATGTATTAAGGTTATGACAACCAACAAGAATGCACTTTTATGTAGACATCCATGATTAAATCGAGTCTTCCTGACTAGTGATTTAAATCAATTTGATTTAAATCAAATCCACCCTGCATTTCAGAATGTCATATGTTAAATTAACAAAAAATTTTTAGCCTTTTTGAGAATTTCATTAATTGCACATATGCGAATACTAAATGTTCAGTAAATCCAATGGTGCAGCTGTTCACAAGTGGAACATTATCTTCATAACCAGAAGAGCTTGCAACTCCCTCCACTACTACCGATCAAAAATTAAGATTTTCAGAATACTATAGGATCTCAAGAAAACATCTTCACAACCTAAAGGCTGATAACTTAATATTCTAGAAACAACAGGGTTACTTAGAACTGGGTGGTACCCAGTTATTTGGGTCACATTGCAACCAGAGTGATTTTCTCTCTCATGCATACACACACACACAAACACACTTGTTTCATTAACTATTTAAGTCTTCATAAACATTGACAAGCTTTCTACATCAGCGCCATTTAAGATACAGTGTCCAAAATTACAGAAGACATTTTGTGACCTCGTCTGTCAAAGTGGCTTGAAGGCCTTGGGGTCCAGTTCAACTCATCATTAAGCCCTGACAATCAGACCTACATTGCCATTGGCACTTCCCATTTCCACCACGAACCTGCCAGGAACCTTCAAGAGGAGGATCTAGCCAGAGTGTTCCATCCATGCATGCGTCAATTCCGAGTGGGTTACTATAATTCACTATATCTGGGGTTGAAGATGGAATCCTGTGACAGAGCACCAGGAGCATATCTCTGTTCTTTCTTCTGTCTGATGGTTTCCAGTCTGCTTCTGTTAACAGGTATGAGAAATCTTTGGCTAGGTCTTCACTTAAAATATAGCATTTTAAGTGAAGACACTTACTGCAGCAACTGGAAAGGTTCTCCGATAGCTATAAGTAATTTACCTCCCGGCGAGGCGTAAGCTAGGTTGACAAAATCCAGAAGAATTTTTTTTCACACCCTTGAGAGAGAGATAGCTATGCTGAACAAACTTTTCAGTGCAGATCTGACCTTTAAAAACCATAACTGGGTCAGAATTCAGCTATATCAGTGACTACTTCTCCATCCATAATCCACCAAAACAGTTGTGCTCCTTTGGACAAAATAGTTTACAAAACTCAGGTCAAAGCATGAGAGAAAGCACTCTTAGTCCAGGGATTTGGCTGTGCAGAGACATTCCAGATATTAGACATTTCCATAATCTGACCATTCAGAGCATGCTGCAAGACCCTCCTCTTTGATAAATCTTTCCCACTATAACCAGTATATAAAAAAAACTCTGCCTCTCACGAGCTCCCCCTTTCTCTGGCCAATGGTTCTTTCAGCAGGTCTTCAGCCCTCCGGTCGAGCCGTATACACTGTCCCCCCTTCCAAGGTATACAGTCCCAAGTTCTTATCATGGCCCTGGTATGGGGCGATAGCTCTTAGGCTTCTTCCCAGAGGTCCTGCCTTCTTCAGACACCCAGCTGGGGCCCATCTCAGTACCCTCAGCTAGTATCCTTTTCAGCAGCCCTCCCTGGGCTCATTCTGCAACTACACCAGCAGAGCCCATCTCGGTATTCTCGTCTGGTAGGGCCAAGTTCTGTGCTCAGTCTGCCCACACTGACCTTTTGATGGTCCCACTGCTCTTCTATCCAGCCAGTCACCCGGTCTTTCGCAGGCTTCCCTGGACTCGGTTTTGTCTGGTGAGCTCTGTGTAGTGAGCTGTCCGCGGTCCAGCTGTTCTTCTAGCCAGCCAGGCACCCAGTCCTCCCTCACTGAGCTCCACACAGCAACTGATGGCTCTGCTCTGCTGCTTGTCTTTTACTTGACCCTTCCGGCCCCTTATTGGTTGCTCCAACAGCTCCTCTGATTGGCTGCTCCTCTGCAGCCACTCTAGGCTGCCTGGAGGACTTTTCACTGCTCTATTCTGGGGCAGGGTGATGCAGGGCCATGAGGCCTGCAGCAGGTGGCCTCCGGACCTAGTCCACCCAGCCACACTCCTGCAAGCGTTGATGACATTGAACTGGTCTACATTGATGCTCTATAATTTAGATGTTAGATATATTTCTTGGTAGTCAAAGACTATAGATTAATGCAACAGCTGCACTTCAGTTGTCTAGAAGACCACAGAACAAGGCTAAAGATGAGCTGAGTTCAAGACCCCACGTACCTCATGCAACAGTTTCTAATATCATAAACACCTACAACACTCTGCCTTAAGGAATGGTGATATCATTTACAATGGGTAAATATTGGAAAAAGATTTCTGCTCAAAATATCTTTTTATTAAAATTTCTCAATTTTCTGACCAATTATAGAGGTCATCAACTCTTGAAGGAAACAGAGGAATCCTGATTTACCAGCTATGACTTTTCAATTCATCTGTAAGAAGGTATGCAGGACAAGCAATTTTAAATCAAGTACTGTAGAAAAAAATATATACACGTAAGTTATCAGAAGTTAGCAGTAGACTAAAAAGTTGTTTTTTCATGTAAATGGAAAGCTATACCAAACTATTTATTCCATGGATGTCTCGGTAGAATTTTATTTACTTTTCTAATAGTCTTTGTTTCCAATTTCAAAACAATCATTCAAATCCATTTTGCCACTGGCCTTTGTCCGAGTATTAAAGTCCTACACAAAAATATACTTATCCCCAAAATACCAAATCCTTTAATAGACTTAAGATGATATTAAGATAGACTTATGAGCACTGAAGGTGAATATGTATATCATATCTCTAGAGCTTTAAACATTAATTTGTTATATTTAATGCTGTACATAAGGCTGGCGAGAAGCCATGAACAGCAAATTCCAACTCAGCCTGCAGAAAACTGAGAAATTTACTTAGTTATCTAAATAGGCTTGCTCACAGACAAGTTCCTTACAGAAGGTGCATTACTGATGATTCTAGTTGATGAATTCAGAGTGGCAACTTGCTCCTGTAGGGACTTCAATTGATTGTGTCAAATAGACAACTAATTAGCTCAGCTGGCATTTTTCAATAGCTTCCAATACTCAGTAACTACTAGAGTTACTATCTTGCAACAACTTTGGAATAATTTTCTTCCCACTCTAGAGCCTTCTGGGCGGGGGAGGAGAATACCCAAAACTGAGGAAGAAGCATCTGATGGCAGACTGACTCATTCTATTCCTTTAGCAGATATTATCTGGGAAGTGGTAGAAGAAGTCTAAATTTGTTCCCTTCACTCACACCCTGCACTATCAAGCGCAGATGTGTACTGAAGTGAAAAGAAAAGGTAGTTGCTCCATTAGCTCAGCATAGCAAGTTTTAAAGAAAATTATATTTGGAGTTGGCATAAATAACAGGGAAAACTTGAAATTTGTTAGATTAATATAGAATATACTGGGAAATCAGGGCCTCAAACTCTTAGAATGAAAGTCCCAGTAAAACAGTAACAAGTTAGTATCTTAATTACTGTTAACATAGTATCCCAATACATCTCACAAAATTATTTTTGAATAGTTAAAATGTCATTTTTTTTGTCTCACATCATGAGGCAATTAAATCATGATGTTAGTTACCACTTACCCCAACTGGGGTATGTAGCCCACTGATCCCAAGCTTCCTTGACCAAGCAGGGACTGGGAACTCTTTGCAGAGCTCTTAAGTAATTCCCTCTAGCTATCCCAAGCCACATCTAGCACACTTTGGTCAAT